CTACCAGTTTTAAGGTTACCATATACAAAACAGTTAGAAAGCCCTACCAGTTTTAATGTTACCAAATACAAAACAGTTAGAAAGTCCTACCAGTTTTAATGTTACCAAATACAACCAAGTAAGAAAGTCCTACCAGTTTTAAAGTTACCAAATACAACCGAGTTAGAAAGTCCTACCAGTTTTAACATTACCAAATACAACCAAGTTAGAAAGTCCTACCAGTTTTAACATTACCAAATACAACCAAGTTAGAAAGTCCCACCAGTTTTAATGTTACCAAATACAACCAAGTAAGAAAGTCCCACCAGTTTTAACGTTACCAAATACAACCAAGTTAGAAAGTCCTACCAGTTTTAATTTTACCAAATACAACCAATTTAAAGGAAATATGACCCAATTTGAAAGTCTGTACAGTTGTCATAAGCATAGTGAATTGAAAGTCACATAGTCAAACGTAAAGCCAACTATAAAGTTATTTCAGTTGTTACATAGTCAAATATCATCTTTACTTTTCTTTCAGAATCAAATAAAATCTTCGAAGTAGCTCTAACAATTTTAACATAACAAAACAGACAAGGAAAATGTCCTTATGACTCTCACACAAGCACCACCTAGAAACACTTTTTACAAAGTTTTAGAAAGTGCATATGACGAAAGATTAAGTTAGATGTATGTATTGTTTGTAAGTGTAGTTCAACTAAACATAAATATCCAAACAGGAAACTACTAAACGCAACCTTTCACAGAGATGTACAATTATGACAAAATAAATCTTAAAATTATGAAACATTCCTTACACTTGTTACATAGTTAAATGTGGAAGTTCTTGAATTTTTTTTACAATGTCACACAACTAGTCTAAACTATTAGCTATTCCTTAAAACTGTGTGAAAAAATTATCTTTAACTTGCCCAAACTGTCAGAAAGTTAAGCTTGACGACAAAGTTGTGTAAATTTTTATTTTTTTATATAATGTGTTTTCAATAGTTGGTTAAATGCTTTTAGCCATACAATACATTGATAATCACCAGAATGTATGTAAATTTGGTTTTAGGCTAGTAAACATCTTAATTGTTTGAATATTACCTAACAAATGTATAAAGTTGGAAGACATTTTATCTTGTTATGGACTGCTGGACATCTTAAAACAGGGGTGGCCACTAGAGAGTTTATACAATTTTTTCTTGATTGTAGGCATTTATATATATATACATCTGTAAACAAAAGTTTAAACTAAGAGTCCTGGTAACTAGTTGCTGATAAGCATCACGGATGTGTGGTAGTGAGTTTGATCAAGCATGAAGAGATAACTTCACCTTTGGAGAATAATAGTTAATACATAAGTTAGCAGGCATACTGTGAACAAATTCTTTATTTTGTTTTGTCTTTAATGCTGCTTTTTATCTATGTAAAAAAGCAACCCTAATACATATGTAGATTAAAAAGGTTTGGCACTGTTTAGTTAATACCCAATGTATAATAACACTGCAAAAAAATTCAATAAAAATGTACCAGTGGAGAAAATTTTAGAGATTGTATTTCAGTGTTTTAAACATGTCTGTGGGTGTTCAAGACTAACATTACAGTGTACTTTGTAGAGGTGATTTTACATTTAATGAAAAATAACTATCATTTTGAACGGTCATTTTTGATAGCAAAAAGTATATACTGTAGTCTGATAACTAACAATCTGAACACTGTCATTTTTCATTAGAATCACATGCTGTTATCGTAAGCAAAGACTTCGAATTAGGATTAGTTTTTATCAAAAGTCTTGTTTTTTCTACTTATGTCAAATCTATTTCTTTTCACTTGCTTTTTTAACTTTTGTAAATAGCTTTTTAGATTTACATGGCATTGATGATAAAGTATAGCTGTGTATTACCTTTACAAATGTTTATTTCAATACCTTGGTGTAAATCTGATGGTTTCCTTTTATTGATATATGATTCAGATGTATATTAGTGGCTGAAATTTAAAATATGTAACAAAAAGCATATTTAATCCATGAATAAAATGAACTTAACATTGAAAATTCATTTTAACTTTAAATAAATAGTGATGGAGAATTGAAAGTATAAAATCAATTCAAATATCAATGACATATTAAATGTGTACTGCAGAACATTACGTAAAGCATGTTAAGTAGTCTTTCAGTTAAACCAGTGGTTTCCAAACTGTGTTTCGCAGCAAGTTGCTAGCGGTGTTGCACAAATCAAGGTAAGTGGGTTAGGGTGTCATCAGTGAAAAAAGTTTGGTAACCACCGAGTTAAACTTTGAATGTTAGTAACTCCTTTTTAATCAAAGTCCATAGAAAAGTTTGTAGTTTTATGTCTGGAATTTTTAAAATTTTACAAGAGTTAGGAAAGTTTCATTACTTTAAACATGTTAAAACATCAAAGTTTTTATACTTTCAGTATTTACTGGAATCATAAATTTCGTGATTTAAGGTCAAGTTTTATTATAAAACACATTCATGTTAATTTATGGGAACTTAAAAATGTCTGTCGTACTTATTGTATTGAAATATCTTGAGGCAACCTGAAGATTTTGTGTTTGGCTCAGAATCTTGCTGAATTTCAATATTGAGGTCACTTTATTGTAAGATGCGTGTTTAAACTTTTTGTGTAATTAAAAGCTATTCAATTTCAGTGTTTTACAAAAAACAAAATTTATGATGAAATATCACTATATTATGTTTGATTTATGACTACATATAAAGCCTTTTAAGGTCAGAGGTCACATTTTGTGAAAATTAACT